ACTTCTTCAAGTGAAGAGGTAACCCTGCATAATTTTCTCAAGTTTTCCAGCAGGAAGAATTTGAAAGAAAAAAAATCAGAAATGCTTTTCATTGTGTTCCTCCAGCGTCAGAAAGTTGGATAAAACTTTTTGGAACAACTTTGCTAGGACACTCTTATGTCTGTCTCATCTTAAGACTGAGACTGAGTTTTGAATTTGAGTCACACATTTCAATTGTTTATTTGTGGAACAGCTTCCCTTCATTAGTTTAACTTGCAGTAAAAACAGACATTAAGTAGAAGTTGTTCAGTTTTCAGAAGATATTTCTGAGGACATTAGGTATAAGATAATACACTTGCTTAAGGACAGAGCCTAAAGAAAATGGATGAAAAGAATGCAGTTCCCAAAACTGGAGTTCAAAAACTGATTAAAAGCTACACAGAAAATGGGACTCCTAACAACCACCTGCAACACCTGTCAGACCATCAAAACTGTCCACATCAGATAAACAGCACTAAAGCTTTCATCTTTAAAAGAGAGGAGAAAATCAAGCTGCTTCAGATCTGAAAACATCCACAGGTGTTTCTGTCCATCCTTCCACTGTGAGAAGACAACTCAGCGCTATGAGTCTGAAAGGATGTGTAGCTGTTAAGAAGCCCTCACTAAAAAAAGGAAACCCATCAAACAAAGAAGCTGCTGGTGTTCTCAGAACACTGGACTGACCACCCCAGAGTCCAGACCTCAACATCACTGAATGTGTTTGGGATTATTTGGATGGTGAGAATCAGAAAATGTTAAACCAACTTCTGAGACTGAACTTTGGAGGTGTGGCTGCAGATTTCTTTGAAAAACTGAAAGAGAGTCTCCTGAAAAGACTGGAAGCTGTAATAAAGGTAAAGTACATAATCACTAAATATTAAAAGTGTTTACATTATATTTACTTGTCACATTATATTTACTCCATTTTGAAATATGTACTTACAAGATTATAACATCTTGCAACGGTAACAAGGGCAGCAGCCCACTCGGACTGTACTTGTGTGTAATTAAAACGTGAAAATTCACTATTTAGGGACATCCAATATATGAAGTAGGGTCAGAGGTCACCATGTTCAATATGTTCTTCTGCGATAAGACCCCCTGTTGTTCATTTCCCTGACAGTTGCTCATTCTGGCGTTTTGTCTATTGTGTTTCAACCCTGCAACAGTGGCTTTGTCTGTCTTTCCAGCTGGCTCGTTTCTTCCCCGCTCCCGATCATAACTGTAATAATCCATGATTCAAATGGTAATGTCATTCCGGATTAGGCCCTGGGCAGAGGAACCCAGGCTGAGGCTCATATTTCCTAATGCAGATGCAAACTACGATCCAACCACTTTACTGGGGGAAAAAAGAGAGACTTTGCCGACCTAATTTAGCCTTTTAAAACTCGTTTAGCATGGATGGCATTAATGAAGTTCAATTCCTGCATTGCGGATATGAACCAATGTGTTCTTTTCATTAAAATTAGGAGTTCTTAGCCCTCCCCTACCCAGCCCACCGCACACATACAGTCTCCAGCCATTATCACAGCTGCACTGCAGTACCCCAACCTAAAAGTGCAGGAGTGTACAATAACAACTAGAGAGAGGATCTCAGAGCATTAAATATTTATATATTTAAAACAGTGCTGTCAAAATAAAAGCCTCTTAATGTCAGCTACACCTAAGGCACAAGCTGAAGGGAAATAAAGTCTTCCGCACCACCAAGCATGAATCCATAAGATGTTTTAGATCCATTTCTTGCTTTGTAAAAGAGAAAAGGCTCGTCTGTGCCCTCTTTTGGCCAGACGACCTAACTGCAGGCCTCGGCCACCCAGCTCTAAACGTTTTGTCTGTTATCGGCTTTGAGAGGTGTATGAAGTGTGCCCCCTAGTGGTTTACAATAAGCTTTGAACATCATGACGAACAAACCAGACAGAGACCATCTTTGACAACACCTATGGCCTCACAGACTAAAGCAAGTGTGTCCACTTCTGATCCTACAGGGCCTTTTAGTGATTTCTCTGCTCAACAACACCTACTACTCCTTGTAACTCTCCACAGAGTTGAATCAAGAATGCTTTGAGTAGAAGGCACACCACTGTGATGGACCTTCCAGGTCCAGAGCTCAACACCACTGGCCTACTGCTACCACCACATGTTAAAGCAATGATCTCACCAGAAATGAAATTTATAAATGTTCCCCTTAAGCCAAGTCAGTCAATACATGTTTGGTGTGCAAAGTTTCCTTCTTTAGTTTTGGATTGAAGCTATGAGGCTAATGCAGCTAGCAAGAAACAGAAGCTTAAAGCAACCATTTTATCATTGTGGAAACTGCAAGTTTCAATCATGACACACTTGCTTCAAACCATGACTAAAAGTGGTACTTGCAGCCTTGAAAGTTGAACTGTCTATATTTTCCATATTGTCCTAATAGTCCATATTTTTTTAATAAATAACAGTCATGCAGTGTCAGAAACCACATCAGCAAGTCTGGGATTACTTAAAATTTTAGACTATTGTTTGCCACTTGGTTACCCAACAGTTAGCTAGCTTTCATAACTTGTACGCTACAGTAACCTCATAATTCTAGAAAATTTAAGAAGCAAACCAAACATATCTGACATAACTACATCCGGGGGGACAGTAGATCTTATTTTCCGACCAAACCACCACTTTAAGATATGGGATGCAGCTAGCACGACCTCCTTCACCTAAGACACAATTTCAACGTCACTACTTACCCGCTCTTTTTCTGATGTTCTGATTCTCGGTGCATTTGCATGGTTCCTGAAGCGCAGGCCTCCTCCAGCTCGGGCCACTTGACAAGGGCATGAAATCAGATACAGGCTTTCAGTCTCTTTTGAAGTGAAACCCTTGTATTTGTTTTAATCTCAGCTATCTGTATCCCACTCCTGGCCTTTGAACAATCACTCACGGAGGGTAATAAGGAGGGACCTGGGTTCCACAGGAGACGGCGACAGACTGACATGCACAGATCAAAGCTATTTGACTGGGCGAGTCATGCGAGGACTCTGCGATTTTTATCATCCTGATCTACTTCTGCAGCGTAATTGGAGAGGTTCATGAATAAACAGCAATTTTTTATTGGGGAGGTATCAGCACTGGCAATCAGGAGTTGATTATGGTAATCTGAAGCCTCTTCAGCATACAAAAGACAGGAATTAATCACTAGTGGCACAAAGCGCATCGCTATTTCTGGAACGGCGGGCCGCAGTCTTACTGGCAGCGGGAACAAAATAATACCGCAGACGGGCCCAAGATAGCATCTTTTTGGTGGGGGAGGGCGGGTGGTGGCACTAACGAGAAGCGGGCGGTTTCGGGTGGCTAATGAGTTGAGACGAGCTTTCCTCGTCGTGCTTCTCAAAAGTGACTTTTAATTGGGCCGATTAGTCACTGTCTGGCCGCAGCGGGACGAGATGAAAGCGCTGATCGGCAGATTTTGCTTCTTTACCGCCATCCGTCTTTCCATCACGTTGGAGTGAGGGAATGACGGAATGCTAAACATCATCCACCCAAATCTCTGCAAAACCATTCACCACTGTATTTCACAACTTGTCTTGTTTGTCCTTTGTCCCCCACTTTATTCCTGGAATTGACTTTTTGGGCTTTCCACTGGCCGAATCTCTATTACACCAGATCGTTAGACAGTAGAGGGACATATAGGAGTTGTTTAGCAAGACATGAATCATACATAATTTTCCCCTCACTTCAAAATTAGTCCATTAGTCAAGACATGTTTGGCATCCAAAGTCTGCTTCTTTAGTCGTTGCACCAGAGCTAAGAGGCTAACATAGCTAACAACTAACAAAATTAGGTAATACTTTATTTGGATGGCTTGAAGATGCTTAACTGGCTTTTAACTTATATTCTACTACATATTTGTATCTAAATTCACCGTAATTTTCCCAAACACTAACCCTGTCCCTTAATCTAAACTTAACCATAACTTTAACCTAAAATTTAAACCTAACCTTCAACCTGGTCCTTATCTTAACCCTGGTACTAACCTGAAACCTGACTCTAACACAATCTACTTCCAGATAGTTTTTTTTTTTTTGTAGTGTGAACATCTATAGATGATCTACAGAGGGGGCCATCCAAATGAAGTGGAACCCAAATTTATTCCATGTCAATTAGCATTAAGAATGCACTAATATGGGTCAATATGCAATATTTTTCATGTAAATACGTGCTGATACCAAAACTTGCAAGTGCCAATATGTAAACACTTACAAAATGCAGACATAGGAAATCTACCTGTATTAGCATTGCAGATAAATATAACAGTTCTTAATGTGGGATTAAAAATTAAGTGAAAAGATTAAAATGCAGATATTTCACCACAGCAAGTTTGAATGATCCTGGTCAACTTACACGTTACATTACAATCGCACTGTGGATTTGCTAATAAATTAGATATACATTAACACACAATCTACAAGGAAAAAAAAAACTAAATATGGCGCTTTTCTGCTAATTTTAGTGCATGGCTTCAATTTATTTTAACATTTTGGAAAACAATAAAACAAATATAAAATGTGCCATAACTTCTGCACAGCCCCATCACCCATATGTTATGTTCAGCAAATAAACAGTATTTGGGCATTAAAATGTGCAGAAATGTGTTCTCTATAGAGATTTTCATTTAGAAAATCTATAACATGGAATATGACCGGGGCGCTCAAACTTTTGCATATGACTGATTGATTCCGATATCACTGTGCATCACAAATGAACATTGTGCAAAATGCATACTTAAATCATCACACTCTAGCCTACGATACTATGTGTGCTGTTTGCTAATACAAAGTGGTTTGGTTATACGCCTTTACTTGTTAGCTACATCAGCCTCGAAGCTGCAGTGCAAAACCAAAGAAGCAACCTGCAGCACGCATATCTCGGCTGATCGACTACATTTGTGTTAAGGGGAGACCTGTATTAATGTTTGCTCTTTTAATGAAAAGATTCAGATTCATACGTGATACTTTAAACACATAGAGTTTATTTTTGCTTAATAACAATTTACAGAAGTTCAGCCGCAGAACGGCAGAACACAATCTTCCCTCCCAGTGGATGTGGACAAACAAGTGAAGCAGGATAAAAAAGGTTTACTCTCCGACAGCTGCTCCTTCCCTTCAGTCATGTTGGTGCATCTCTGAGAAGGTTGGCAGTTAGCGTCTCACTTCAGCCAGATACCTTTGTCTCCTGCGTCTTCATTGTAACCTTCTGCATACCTCTTCCCTGGAAGCTGAAGGGAGAAACAACAAGAGTAGATGTTACTGCCAGGACTGGCAAAACAACTATGTAGATTGAGGACACAATGTGTTATTAACTGATGAGCAAATTCTTTCAGTGACACAAACATGCATTTCGGTCAAAAATCATTCAAAAGCTTGGACACAGCAGATTAAATGTGATTTTTCTAATCTTAAAGACGTTTAGATCTGAAGATGTATGCTTATATTCTTGAAATTTCCTTCAAGGGTAAGTTTTAGTGGGTTGTATTTTCTATGAACCCAGATGTTTGTGACAACTGAAAAGTCGATGATATTGTACATATGTAATAATATAAGAATATACTGTAATATAACGCTTTATACCTGTAGCTGGTTATATAGTCACATCCGCAATCAGCTTGTCTTTAAATTCCTTCTCTCCCGCTGTTCTACCACCCAGACCAAGTTAAGAGACTCTTCCAAAACATCCATTTTAGAGCAGTGGTCAAACAAAAGCCAGTCCCCTAAAGCCAGACATACACTGTGCGATTTTAAAAACCTGCTCTTTGATGACCCATACTGTACATTTAAGTAGATCATTGTGTACCAAGATGGCATATTCAGACTTCAAAAGCAAATGCTGAAAAGGCTAAAATTGAGGACGAGTACAAGTAAATCAGCACGGTGTCTGGCTAATACCCAATACCATTATCGATCCATCTCTAATCAACAGTTAAGTATATAGTCCCTAACTGATTAAAATTGTAATTGTGGACCATTTCTATTGGTCCATTCTTCAAAAAATATTACCACAATGTAAAGAACTACTGAAACTTTTTTCTAATTATGTCAAAAAATGAAAAACACTTACTTTGGTGTCTTCACTAACATTATAAAATATGGGAATCCTAAGTGACTACATTGTCCAAACTTCCCAAGAGAATGGCTTTTCTTAATTAATGTATCTTTCGAATCAATGCACAATTATCTCCTACTCTTGGACACGAAACTTGATCGTACTGAACCAAAATAACATCAGTTAGCTTCACTTCCATCTGCTTTAGTGTAAGAGGAGCCAGGAGAAAGTTCACGAGAGTGAAGACAGATAGAGGGTGTATTAAAGTCCCATAGAGGCTGTGAAGGCTCAGCAGTCTCCTAATGAAAGCAGATGAACTCCTTTCCCATCGGTGCAAGTGGAACGTAGGGCAGTTTACAATGGCTTTCATCTCTTCCTAAGTGCTACATGAAGGCAAGATGAATGGCTTCCCAGTGCAAGTTTTGCCAACCTAGATTAAGGTCGGTCTTACAGTAAGACGGTTTCTCAATGGGGAATGTCCACTGACAGGGTGATCTAGACAAAGACTCTTGCATTGCAGCCTAGGAAGAGCCGCTTCTAAATTGCTGGTTTCTTTATCCGTCCTGTGCCACTCGACTCAAGTATTGCCAGTGTTTACTGAAGAAACAGCCAGCAGGCAAAGAGGCCATAACATTTTACAGAATAAAGTGAAACAGACATTCTGTGGTAGGCTTACTGAACAAGCACACCAGTAGTCATTACTCAAATACCTGACACTAGCAAGGTCAAGCTTTTTGATGAAAGTGACAGTAAAAATGACTCCATTAACAAACCTGCTGCAATGAAGTCCTGGTACTTTATTTCTGTGCTGAATAGTACTTTAACATTAGCACTGCAGGTGAACTACTTGTGTAAGTAGCAGCTATGTAAAGAGACTACAAATAGATTTCTACACCTAATGACATCCCAAAGTTTTTTTTTTTGTGGGACAGGATGCATCAATCCACTCAAAAACCATATTCCAAAATCTAGTGCTGCTAACTAGGAGAGAGGAGCTGGTTAGCATTTGCTTAGCTGTATGTGATAAAAGCTCTGCTCAACATAGAACATGTTGGATTCTGGCTAACTAAAGCACAAACAGATGATGATAATTCAAATCTGAAAGAATAACAGAAAGCCAAAATCGAAGCTGTTCTGTAGAATTTTGGCTTAGCTAACGATAGCTTTGTTGGCAGGCCAAACATTTCACACAGCACAGGCTCGGTTCCAACTAACTGATGATAAAATAAACTTGTTTAAAGGATTTCTGAGAACGCAGAGTCTAATGACTGGTGTTAGAGTGAAATCTGAAATCGAGCGTGTTCTGTGGTGAATGGAGCTCTTAGCCATGGCTGAGCCTCCTACATGCTTATTTTTTCTGAGGTTTTTCCTGGCTCTTAACTATCCCCTCTTTCTATCAGCGCCACCTATCGTTGAGCTTACAGGCCACCAATCAACGACACCTCTAAAATATGAATAGGTAAAATGTGTTTATTTACCCATTCGGACATGGACATGTAAAATTCTGGCATCTTTTTAAATATCACAGTGTATTTTGTTACGGTTTTATCGCTCAACCCTACCCAACACATGCTCCAGCCTTCGACTAATTCAGTAACACTGCAGGTGGGACAGTGAGATGTGTTGATCGGTTGTATTCAACAAGTCATACTTGTTTGAGCCAGAACAGCCAAAAGCACACTCACCACAAAGATGGCCTTTAAATAACTGTGATTAACAATTTAATTCTTTTTTGTTCATTGTATGCAACTGTTAAAATACAAGGATAAAGTGGGCAAATGGGCTGTTTAGTAGCTCCCAGCTAATGACAGACACAGCTCGAGCTCAAATAAACAAACATTACTCACCTCCACCCTCTAAAGGTGTTAAAGCACCAGTCAGAAGTAAAACCTTTTTTGCTTTTGTAAGACATGTCTCAAGAAATGTGTTTTCTCCTTTATTTACATGCATTTGCTTTAACCCAATGGATGAAAACGCACACAATTCACATCCTGATGTAATGTGAAAATTAACAGCTGTGGAAAATAATTTTGATCAGGACAAAGAATTGCAATCAGGATGTTATATAATAATTGCGACCGGCCTAGTCAGTTTTTATTGTGTTGATGCATATTCATCACACAATGGCATTTTTAATAAATGATAAACTGATACGTGGGGATTATTGTCCCAGCTGATAATCGAACTTAAAAATGTCCTGTGGTAACATCACAGATGACTTATTACATTCTAGCAGTAACTTATTCTAATGATTTTACTGTTTTCTAATTTTTTTTTAAATTGTAGCAAATATTCATTGCAGCTCTACACATACAGTCGACAACACCAAAACTGTAGAGTGCAAAATCCAGGCTTCTGTGACTCCTGTTACGCACCACATCAGTTAAATAAATTTAAATGAAGACCAAAGTATAATTTACACTCCGTTGCTGAATACAAGCTATTGTTGTTTTAAATGGCCTTTACGGCATGTTTCACTTTATGAATTAAAGCAAATCATGACTGGACCCCTGGCCGGAGTGCACAAATAAAGATAAAGTCAAAGCAGGCCCTTGTATTTCATATTCCCATTGCCCTCCGCACACTCTGCAATAAACCACAGCACTGAATAAAATGTCAGTCGGAAACATCCAATAATGTAATTTACGCTCCTGGTCGAGTCGCAGCAAGGGAAAAGCTATTCTCTAAGCGCGTGGGCTTAAAGGTCAGGTGTGAATATTTTCTGGCAGAGATGATGGTACCAAATCACTTACAGCATATTGAACAACTGCCATTTGTTAAGGATTCTTCTCAATCTTTTCTCAATAAATGTGCGCTAATGTCACACTGGAACAATAAAGAGTTAGGTCAAGTTACAGACCATGTTGCTTAGTAACTAGGAGAAGCCTCCTTCAGTAAATATTTTCACTATTAGCAGTAAAACTTATTAATAAAATCTTAACTACAGTGAGTAATGAAACCAATTAAAAGACTATAACAGGTGCTCTGCATCAACTGAATTATACAAGCCAACCTTTGGACATGTTTTCAAGTTTTGGATATTGGGTCTTGAACTAAGGAGTATACTATGTATATTGTTTTAATAAATTAAAAAAGATTGCTGAATGATTTCCTATACAATGGCACCCTCTAGAGGTCTGCACAATGCAGGTTTACCTGTGGGTTCAGCATGATTCACAAAACACTAGGCTAGTCTAGTTTTAATGGATCATCTGTCATGCAAGTGTCTCTTATACAAGATATTGGACAGGGTATATTCTGATGTGTTGACCACTATTTTCAGAATTATCACTTCGTAAAGTTACACTTATTCACCAATGTAACGTTACATAGATTGATTTCAAAACCACATTATTGGATACAGATTTAAGTAAATACATACACGTTTCAACAATGGCTATCAGTCAGTCATTCAGTCAGTAAAAAACACTGGGCCTCATTCACCAATATCTTTCTAAGCTTTTTCTTACTTGAGAAAAAGTCTACATTAGATTCATGACGTGTTCTTAAACTGAAGAATTGTTCGCACATTTGTGCTTGAGTGTAGATTCTGATGTTACCTAAGAACTAATCCCAAATAGGAAAACACTGATAAATGTCAGAATCGTATTAAGAAAGGCTCATTAATCTTAAGGGGCATAAAAGAAAGAGCGTAAATTTGACCACCTTTAATGACATATAAACTTCTCTGCGTCTTATTTGTGAAACTTTCGTACAACATTAAGACGAGCGGAGATTCGTGGGGTAATGATGCATCAGCTTCAGTTCGTGAAATCAAGCGCCAGCTTATCAGCACCTCATTTGCCTATTATTTACATGAAGCATTCCCTAACTTCTGCAGAAGTTTGGTAGGGAGCCAATAAATTACAGCATTCAGCAGCTTGTAAGCCAATGACTGTGCTTGTAGGGTCAAGCAGTGTGTGCACTTCACAGTGAAAAAAATTACGATGCCAGAAAAGAATACAATGCAAAACAAACATCTTAGTTTTTTTAAGATGGTAGAATGATGTGATTATGTAGTGTAAAATAACACAATTGAATCCTGTATTACTGCAGTGTATGAGATGGAATAGCTGTGTTTTGTACATTTATTTTTTTGTAGTATAAAACAAAAGCACAGTGTAATTTTGCCAGTTTGTTAAACTACTATACTTAAATCTAGACACACTCCTACCAGATGTGAGTTTGATCCTACAAATACACTAAAGATGAAACTGATGAACAACAGAACTGTCGAAATTTGCGTGCGGTCATTTTACAATTAGATTTGACTGAATGCATCTTTGATGAATAGGGGCCACTGACTCTAACACTCAGTAATGAACAGCAGTCATAGCGCACAAATAGCCAAAAGGTTCTAGGTTAGTGCAAGCAGGTTTGATCGCTTTCTGGGTGGGACCAGCTTCGTTTACTGGCTGCTTGTGGAAGCAGACAGGCAGAAAATAAATAAGCTGCAAGTGTGCTTAACAAAAAAAAACAGTAATTATCACATGGTGCATACACATAATGATGCTATAAGATCTCCAATAATATAATGTTTATGCAAATAAAAACTAGCAAAGCAAAGTTAGCTGCTTGGCTAAGTGCCATGTGCTTCTGTCAAAAGTAATAAAAGCACATCATACAATGTGGTGTCGTGCGATTTCTCACATTTTCTCAAATACTGATTTTTGCAGCTGGACTTATATAGTTACGTCTGGAGGCTGCCTTGCCCCATATCAAGGGGCCTGAGTGTGCTTGCTCTATGCCAGAGGTGCAGATTTACATAGGTTTAACATAAAGAGGAGCAAGAGGACCACAGGTGAAAGGGGGCAAGGGTACGGGCAGGCATGATGAGGTTAAAACCCTAGTTACCACAGCCTAAAAAAAAGTGCAACAATCTATGCTCAGAAAGTTATAACCGACTTCACTTACGACCATGCCTAAGCCCTGTTGATGCAACCAGCCGCAGGAGTTTATGTCTGACAATGTAACGCATCCTTCATGGTTCAAGTGTTTTCCCAAATCCATATCCACTTTCCAAAACTCCTTATTTTCTTCTTCCTGCATGCAAATTAACTTTCAAGGATTTTCAAGGACTGCGAAACCTGTCGTTTCTGCTCCAGTTGTTCCAACAGCCTTAAGCATGTTAGCTTATAGCCCATATAGCACTGCCAGAAAGTTTATGTGGGTGACCACCCCCTCCCCTCCACCCCACACACAGTGACAAAATCCAACCTCTCACACTGAGACCTGCAGATGTTTGCAGTGTACATACGGATTTGAAGGAGTAGAAGCCTTTGTCAAATTCGTGAGCACCGATGGTGACTTCTGGGATGTATCTGGGGATTGCAGCCATATTGGCCACTTTCTGTTTATCCTCCACCCTGGGGAAAGAAACACATACAATGGTAAAATTATACCCCACATTGGAGGATCAATAAGAGATTCCACTGTAAAACAACACTGAATTGCATTTTTCACATTTCCAAATTCATTCTGGTGCTGTACAAAATGTTTTACACACTTTGTGCTGTCAGCAATGCTTTTCGCTGGGTTTACTGCTGAAGCTGAATACTATTATGTCCTGCAGAGACATTGCTCCATTGTCTATGGAAAATAAATAGAGTATCAATATCATAACGTTCCTGACATCATTTGGTTTTATCATCTGCACTTACTACTCAATATGCGTGTTGATATGATTGTGCTGGTCGATTGAACCACAAACTTGCTCTCTGGGAAGTTCCTATTTGCTGTAAAATCATTCGGAACATAACATGACTCAACTTTCCCTGCCCAGAATAGACAACAACCACAACGTTCGATGGTTTTAGCTATGTCGCACCTTTAGACGGGACTTTAAATGGAGACACTGCTAGAACTAGCCAAACATAGCACCTACAAACAGCTACAAAAAATTCCTTTTTTTTGTGACAATACACACTGTGAATCAAGTGCAGTTAGACTGTATGCTGTAAAGGTATTTGTGATATCAGCATTATAGATATAATGAAATGGAAATGGTCTCCACTTATATCCACTTAACATGTCTGGAGAAGGTAACTTGTGTGTGAATGTTCTGTGAGTGACAAATCGAAAGGCTTTAGTGCTACAAGAACAGTTTATGAGTACAGAGAAATTATGGAAAAATGTAAAATTTGTGCTGTGTTAAAACATTTGACACAAATACCAATATATATAATCATAAGCCATCCAAAAGCAGCAAGCCATTAAAATTTATTATTTGTCTTCTAAGCAGTGTTTTGTGAATATTATGCTTTTGCCTGAATTTTCCCTCACTTTCTGAAATTTGACGTAGGATGTAAACACAGTTAAAGTTTCAAAATATACTGTTCCCCAATTCATACAGTTGGTACATATGCAAAAGCAGCCTGTTTTGAGTGTGTTTTTGTGTTGTCACAGATGTGATGCATTTAAAAATATTGAATACTACCCATTCACACAAAAGATGTCGGGTTTTATTTTCACTATCGTATCATATTTCATTATTATAGCGCAGACCGAACTAAAGCACAGACTAATCGGCATCATGTTTGTGTGATATTTCAATTATTTGTTTGAATTTTATTCAACAGCTGGATGGAATCCGAGCTCATATCGTTCTAAAATGTACACTCACAGCATTCGCATATGATGGAAGGTGACATCATCCTGCTCTAACCATGGGCCTTTCTCAAACTTCAAATAATCAATATCCTCTGCAACCTGAGAAACAAAAATGAAAAGTGCCTTAGAAAAACAATGAGCAGAAAGAAATGGGAAGAAAAATATGTCTGGAGAAGGTAAACTGAGTGTAAAGGTTCTGCGAGTAACAGATCGAAAGGCTTTAGCTCGACTTACCCTCTCAATATCTTGGGCTTGTGTTGTATCGTAGGCAAGCACTTCAGACTCCTCACTGAAACAAAAGCAGTTTAAGTGTTAGACATTAAGACAGCAATGGTGGTACGAGCTCAGCACTTCAAAAAACAAACCTGTGCAAGTTTCTACACAGTGTATGTGTGCGTTGCTTTGATTGACATGTAACTGACATTACACAAGAGATTTTATATTCACTCCTCATGCTGAGTAACAACAGGGGGTAAAATACTCAAGAACTTCTCCATTACAGGTTTAATACCACTTGAAAACAAGACATCAGAAAGAAAAGTCTGTGCCAACACACAGACACTATCTGTAGATGCAGAAACAACATAAAAAGCCTGTTGATTTGGTGCATCACTAACATCCAAAATATACAACAGAACCATTTGCAGATGGGGTTTTGAGGTACACCAATATCTTGATCATCTGCCTCAACTTCAAAACAATTTCACAGATTCAGCATCTTTTTCTTTGCTTTCTGTGCCAAGTTCTTTATTTGCAGTCAGTTCAGACTGTCTACTACAGAAAACACAGAATTGTTACATTTTTTGAAATTTAGGTATCGACTTTGCACCAATATATAAAGTATGTGGACACCTGACCATCACACCTGTATAAGCTTGCTGAACATCCCATTCCAAAATCATGGGCACTGGTTTTCGGAGTGTCACTGTGGGAATTTGTGCCCATTCAGTCAAGAGATCATTTGTGAGGTCAGGCACTGATGTTGGATGAGCCTCTCAATTAACATTCCAGTTCATGCCAAAGGTGTTCAATGGGGTTAAGGTCAGGGCTCTGTACAGGTCAATGGAGTTCCTCCACACCAAACTCATCAAACTATGCCCTTACGGAGCTTAATTTGAGCCCAGGGGCACAGTCGTGCTGGAATAACGGCCTTCACCAAACTGTTGCCACAAAGTTAGAAGCGTATAATTGTCTGAAATATCTTTATATACTGAAGCATAAACATTACTCTTCACTGGAACAAAGGGGCGCAAACTGAAAAACAGCCCCAGAGCATTATCCCTCCTCCACCAAACTTTACTGTTGGCACTATGCATTCCAGTAGGTGGCGTTCTCCTGGCACCTATCAAATCCAGATTCTTTCATTAGACTGCCAGATAGTGGGATTCATCACTCCAGAGAACATTTTTCCACTGCTCCAAAGTCCAGCGGGGGTGTCCTTTACACCACTCCAGCCATTGCTTGGCATAGTGCAAGGTGATTTTAGGTTTGTGTGCAGCTGCTCGGCCAAAGAAAGCCATTTGTATGAAGCTCTCAAAGCCCAGTTCTTGTGCTGATGTTTCCAGACTCAGTATGGCACTCTGCAGTGAGTGATGCAACAGAGGACAGGCATTTTTACGTGCTACATACTTTAGCACGGTGGTCTAAAGCTTCGTGGCTGAGATGTTTTTTCTAAGACGCTTCCATTTCACAATAATACCACTTACAGTTGCAAATTTAACAGGGCAGAAAGTTCACAAACTAACTTGTGGTAAAGGTGCCATCCAATAATTGTGACACGTTTAAAGTCACTGAGCTCTTTAGTACGACCCATTCTACTGCCAGTGTTTGTCTACGGAGACTGCAAGGCTATACGCTTGCTTTTTTTTATAAACCTGTTAGCAATGAGGCTCCTAATTAGGGGGGCTGTCCACATACTTTTGACCATATAGTGTATATAACATTTAAACATACGCCACATAGCTTACAGTTTTCTAAATTGGGCAATTGTGGTGCTACTATTGCATCGTTTTTGTGTGTTAAAATATCACATTGTATATAGTGAAAATTCCTTCATGAAAGTATCATGAAATATCCGTCATATCGCGCACCACACAAATTGCTCATACCAACAACTATAAAACATCTGATACATCAAGGCCAACCAAAGGTGACAGTTTCTCAGCTAGCCTTAAGGGTGGATGAATAAATCAGGCTAGCTTACCTGATCTTGGGCAGGAAGGTCGTCTTGTATGAAGTCTCAATGCTTTTAAGGTAGGCGAGTGGTACATTTTGGAGATATGGCTGGAGGAAATAAGAGACAGAAAGAGCACAATTGCACAAAAGCTCTCTTAAAATCATCTAATGCATTACATCTGAAACTACAGAACTCCATCATATGAAATATTCCCCAACCAGGTCATAGGTTACAGTGACTCACAATTCACTTAACAGCAAAAAAAGAAAAATAATAATAATAATAATAAATAATAAATAATAATAATAATAAAATAATAACAAAAAAAAAACACCTAAAAAGTAGTAGTGGGTGGTTATGGCCTAAAATGATGGTTTCGCTATATCACTGGAAAGTGTATTTATGTACAGTTCAAATAAAAAATCATTTTGGATGCTTAATAAAACATTTTGTTACATTAAGAATGGCGTGTTATTCTGGATGTCCATTCACTTTTAATAAGACCCAGATTTAAAAACTGAAGTAAATCTAAAATATTTTTATAAGGTGACATAGTAAAAACAGAAACTGACAATATAAAGACAAAAGTCAGTATTGCTCATTACTACATTACTCCAACTGCGACTAACACCAGAACATCTAGCCAACAAAAAACCTAAAAAACAAACATCTGGACACTGGCCACTGTCCATGTAAAAGAAACTCAGTCTTGGAGCAGCACATGAAACACACCAGTTTCACAAATGATTCAATGACTCCACGTGTTTACTTTGGACTCAGTTCAGAACAAAAGCCCCAGCAAATGAAGACTTGCCAAAGCTTCAGATGTTTAAAGTACAAATAATCTTCAGCACCTGAGCCTAGCTTGAAAATGCGAATGATCTGACAGCAAAGCGTTCAGAAGCCTGATCAAAGGGAGTTAGTGACGGGATGGTTTCAATTAGAAGCATTTAAGAGGCATTTAGTGAAGAAATTTTACCCTAACCATGTTTTTGAACCAGGCCAGAATGAGGTCTAAAAGAATGACTCATATTAAAAGATCTAAAATGTCTTTAATCTTTTAGAAAACAGGCTACAAACTATTTGCGATGTAATAAATACCATACTACTGAGTACTTACTATATCATATACAAGATCAGTTTTGTGTATGGAAATGTAGTGATTTGTTGGAAATTAAAATAAACTTAAGCACAGCAGTACGAGCAGTAGCCAGAGCAACTTGAGCGCAGCTGGACGGGTGTCTTGTTCAGAGGAACGTGGATGCTATTCTCTATTAGCAATTGCACAAAATAGCATCAGCAATTGCACAAAATTGTACTATAATAAATACTGCTAGTGAACTACAGATGTGTAAAATAATAGTCTATCCCAACAAGTCATTTTCTATTGATCAACTCAAGCGCTTAATAACAAGGCAATGTGTATCTGTGATAATCCAACTCGATCAGTGCGCACAAGCTGCTTCAGTTCAGCTTCAGGTACAAGTTTAGCAGATCCAGTCGAGCGTGTTTCGACTGAGACTCAAGGTGGTGGGTACAGGTCGGGTTCAGGCTTGTTGCTGGTTTGTTGCTACAGTTGGTTGTCACAGGCAGCTGTAACACTTACTTTTCCAGAGGCCTTGAGTTTCTTCTGGACCTCCTCAGCAGGAGAGTCCACATAGATGACCAGGTGAGGAGGCAAAAACTCACAGATGCTGACGCTTTTGATCTCGTTGTAATGATCCACACCTGAAGGCCAAAAAGGCAGATATAAGTGCTTCATCTTCACTTGTGCGCTTAAGATTAAGTAGAATCACACACAAACTAGGAATTGGATGGTAACTGTGGGCTTCCTTGAGGAAAGCTTACTGCCCAGATAAATGGCTTTACATATCTTCTCAGACACTTTAGGAGAGTACTACATGTTCTAATACAAGTAATAAGTGCAAACAACAAAACTTACATCAATTAAACAGCAGCTACAATGAAGCTATTTTGCTTTTGTTAGAAAACAACAAAATTAGAGTTAAACATATTCCCTTATATTTCAGGGGGAAAAAAACAATCGACGTGCATTCCTCAAAAAAAATTCATATATATTCATATATATATACACATACATATATATATATATATATATATATATATATATATATATATATACACACACACATATATATATATATATATATATATATATATACACACACACACACACACACACACACAGAGGGGCGGCACGGTGGGTTTCCTCCGGGTACTCCGGTTTCCTCCCACAGTCCAAAAACATGCAGTTAAGCTAATTGGACACGCTAAATTGCCCCTAGGTGTGAGTGACTGTGTGAATGTGTCTGTCTGCCCTGCGATGGACTGGCCTGTCCAGGGTGTATCCTGCCTTCCGCCCAATGACAGCTGGGATAGGCTCCAGCAGCCCAGCGTGACCCAGAAGGATAAGCGGTTTAGATGATGTATGTATGTATGTATGTATGTATATATATACACACACACACATATATAGCAATGCCTTGCTTCTTACATGGCTAAAGGGTACTGATAAAATTACAGAAATGCTAACTGTGAAGAAAAGACTTATTGAATTAGTCATTGCAAATTTGTATTTTGGGTAAAACGGAAGCTTTCTAGGTGTACTGATTATTTTTCTGTGTATAATAATATGACAACAGAAAATGCTTAAATTTCCAACTTGATAAGATTTTTGGACTTTTTTTGGACAAAGCAGAAGTCTATAGTTTTGGTATAACTGGGGAACAGCCCCTGCTTCTGTGCATAAAATATTTTTATTAACATTTGTATTAACAGTGCTCCCCAGTTAAACACTATTAGTCTATTTTTAAAACAGTCTTTGTTAAAAACAAGTCACCTAATGTTTCTACCAAAACCAAGAGAATAAAAAAGATCTTTGTTCCCCCTCCACTGCAGTAACTGTCTCTACTCTTCTGTGAAGGCTTTACACTAGATGTTGGAACGTTGCTGTGAGGATTTGATTGCATTCAGCCACAAGAGTATTAGTGAGGTCAGCTGATGTTGGATGATCAGTTCTGGATCACAAATGCCACTTCAGCTCCTCCTAAAGGTATTGGATGGAGCTCCATCACACATTGCTCAACGCCCAACGCTGGGGGGCTTTATACCCCTCTAGTTGACACTTAGCACTGGGCATGGTGACTTTAGACTCATGTGGGGCTGCACAAGCGTTACCATTCTACTGGCAATGCTTTTCTAAAGAGATTATACAAGCTTTGCGCATGTGAACTCCTGGGTCAGCAGTGGGTGAACCTTAATACAGCTGAATTCACTAGTAAGAAGGGGTGGCGACAAACTTTGGGACATACACACACATTCCCCTAATAAAATGCATCAACCTAATCCACAACACTTACACTCTTTCCTGATGTATCCTTGCTTGAACATGGCCTCCACAAACACCAGGTCACTAAACGGAGACCGTTCAAGAACGACTCCCTGGCCTGAAAAAAAAGAAGGCAATAAAAACAGATCTGTACAGCTAGACAAACAAACACAAATAATATCACTAATAACGAGCATACAGGACACCAAATACATACCAAAAGTGTATGGCACAAACTAGCACGCTAATTAAAAATACGTTTACCAAGTTCAGAGTTAAGCATTACTAAATCAAAAATATTTGCAACACATAAACTAGTTTTTAACACTAGAGTTCAGTAACTACTAAATCAGGTTTTGCTCGTTAGGCAGCTAACATTAAGTTAAGCCTGGATTTTCACGACTGTAGATCACTTTTACCATTGCAACATGTACTGAATATCTTCTGACGGAGATGGGCCCCTGCTCACTTTTTTGCCTAGAGACGTAAATAACATGAAAACTGATTTACTAAGCAGACGTCAAGAATATAAAGAATATAAAATGATATTACTCCACTAAGCACAATCACGCTGGCAGTCAACAGCATTGCTTTTTACCGTTAGACATACCTGTCTTTCTACATATTTAATGCTGATTTTTTCCTACTTTGAAAAAAATAAGCTGCTCGACAACTTTCACATAACTAGCTGTTTGTTATAAATGTCACTCGAGTTGTTCTCAGACAGTTATCATTCGTCTACATTTCTATTATCATCCAAGCTTACTAACATTACTTTTAGATAATTTTGCTAATAAACTCTACACTGTATACAGCATGCTTTGGTTTAACTCTAACTCCAAACATACAAATTCATAAAACTGCAGCTCAGTGAGACTCAGTGATACTGAATTTTTACATGCTGCAGGTACGTCAGTTGGCCATAAACCCCCCCCCAAAAAAAATATTAAAAGAAATTATCAGAACAATAAGCAGATAAAAGAGGTATATATAGGTATTTAATTTGATTAGTTCTCATTTCGTCACTGTCATGTTAAACAGTGTTTAGATTTTGTTACTCTGTATGCGTTAGCTAAGACATTATTTTAAGATTGGTGGTGCATATAAATTTAGTAGTACTGTTGTTTGAATGCACTAATGTTAACGAAGGAATTAGTCATAATCAATGCCTGTACTATACCTGTAGTGAGAAGATGCTCAATGGCGTCCGTGTACTGCAGGAGCCTCATGAGGTACATCCAAGCCTGCAGGCGGTAAGAGTTGCCATCCCTCGCTTTCGGATCCATGTAGAACTTCTCCAGACTGCAGTTTCCATTGAAGGACGTGTCCAGAGGGACCTTCTCGCTGGTCATTTTGTCCAGGTAGTGCACATCAGGCTCAGGCATGTACAGCATCCCTACATACAAGTAATGGAAGATAATATGGCAAAAATACATCCCAAGGATACTTGAAGACATTTTCACAATACATGATATTCTGAGATTTGTGAACAAGTTGGAACAAGATGGAGCAGAACAGCAGTGATACTTAGAGGGCTGTGAGTAGAATTATATTTTTTACTTAAGCTATTTAGGAAAAAATAGGAGGGGGAAAAAACAACAACTGGTTTCGTTTTTAATATGAAGTAAGATTGATAAACTGCATTGTGGGGTGACATCCAGTAAACCCCAATAAGCCTATATACACTGTAAGCCAATTTACTCTAATTAAAAAAAATAAATACTTATATTTAAATCTGTTTTTTTTGTTTTAATATTAGTAATTACATACATTTGGCAAAGGGTACAAACTAAAAAGTCCAGACACAGTAGTTCTACTTGAGCAAGAAAGAGTTTATTATTGAAATAATCATGCCAATTCATATATTTTGTTTCTAAAGTGGATGTTTTCTGGGTGATTTTTTTTCTGCGTATAATTTATAATTATAAACTCACTACACATTCTGTGTCAACAGATTTAGAGTGGAAACCTAAAAGCTTTTCTCATCTCTTCTCATAACACTCAGGGATACAGCAGAAATCTACAGTCTTGTTAAAAAAAGGGGGACAGCTCTAGGTGCAATGCAAAAAATGTTTTCATTTACATCTGTATGAAAAGTAAATTCCAGTGAAACACTTAGTCCTTCTTAAAATAGTCTCTCTGTTGTTTATATAGTCATCAGCCTATTAATTTTTAAAGTAAATCTTTTTTCTGAACTTAAAAAATACTGAGCTTTTTATTTTTAGATGGGCTTAATAGCCATAAAAGGCCCCTACATAACTTTCTTGACTGTTATAAAAGTTGAAAGTTTTTTTGTACGTTTCCAAAAACATAAGAAAAGAAGAAATATGTTTAACAAGATTTAGGTGGGCTTACTGGGCAGATTTTCCCCTACCATTTCACACTGCTAACATTCAATATAATCTTTGAACTCAAAAATAATGATCCACATTTTTCACCCTGACACACCAGCATAATCTGGCATGATACGTATACAGAAATGCAATGAAGATGTACTTACCCAGCTTGTCGGCCAATTTTTGTGCGAGTGCTCCTTTTCCGGATGCCAGATTGCCGTCTATACAGAAAATCTTGCTGTTCTCCTTGAACCTGGGAGTTGTTCTCTCACCCAGAGCATATGCCCACCATCCATACCGCAGGTTTCTGACTGTTGAAGTGTGGATTCCAGCCTGTAAAAGAACCTAAGTTAGTTCAGGTACTCTTCTGGAAAGGCTTTACACTAGATGTTGGAACACTGCTGTGAGCATCTGATTGAGCATTAGTGAGGTCAGGTACTGATGTTGGATGATTAGTTCTGAATCACTCCAACTCATCACAAAGGTATTGGATGGAGCTCCATCACTCCAGGGAACACAGTTCTGCTCCACAGCCCAATACTGGGGGCCTTTATACCCCACTAGCCCGAGCTTGGCACTGGGCATGGAGACCTTAGGCTCATGTACAGCCGCTCGAGAGCATCCCATTCTACTGGCTTTTCTATGGAAAATTAACCAAGCTTTAGGGAAGCACAATGTTTAAAAAATAAAATTAGCAGCATCGCACAGATGTTTAGGTTTGACCTGTATTCCAAGCCAAATTACAACCCCATTTCCAAAAAAGTTGGGACGCTGTGCAGAAAGTAAATAAAAATACAATGCAATGATATTCAAATTATGTAAACCATATTTTAAAGAAAATACTACAAAGACAACATAACAATTGTTGAAACAGAAAATTGTAATCGTAATTATATGCCCTTTTTAAATTTGATGCCAACAACAAGTTCTAAAAAAGTTGGGACGGGGGCCTGTTTACCACTGTGTTTCATCATCTCTTATTTTAACAACACTCGTTTTGGGAACTCAGGAAACACTGCTGTAGTTTTGAAAGTGAAATGTTTTCCCATTCTTGTTTGATATAGGATTTCGGCTGCTCAACAGTTTGGGGTCTCCTTTGTTGTGTTTTTCATTTCATAATGCGCCAAATGTTATCAGTGGTGACAGGTCTGGACTTCAGGCAGGTCAGTTTAGTACCCAGACTCTTTTAATACGGAGCAACGCTGTTGTATTACATGCAGAATGTGGTCTGACATTGTCTTGCTAAAATAAGCAAGCCCTTCCTTGTTTTCATGTTTGTCATTCAGTATTAATGTTGCTTTCACAGATGTGCATGTCACCCATGCCATGTGCACTAATGCACCAGTACCTTCATGAATACTGGCTTTTGAACTGTACACTGATAACAAGCTGAGTGGTCTTTAGCCCAGAGGATGCAGTGTCCATGATTCCAAAAACAAGAACATTTCAAATTTTGATCTGCTGGACCACAGAACACTTTTCTACTTTCCCTCAGTCCATTTTAAATGAGCTCGGGCCCAGAGAAGGTGGCTGTTTAACTTGCAGTTGTGGATGCACTGATGATTTCAGACGTGTTCCTGATCCCATGCAGTGATTTCCACTGCAGAATCATATCTGTTTTAATGCAGTGCCGTCTGAGGGCCCAAAGATCATGGCCAGCAAATACTGGTTTTTGGCCTTGTCCCTTGCATACAGAAATTTCTGCAGATGCTCTGAATCCTTTAATGTTATTATATACTCTAGATGATCAAAAGCAAAAGTTCTCTTCTATTTTATGTTGAGAAATGTTATTCTTGAATTGTTGCACTATTTGATCATGCAGTCTTTCACAGAGTGGTGAACCTCTCCTCATCTTTACTTCTGAAAGCCTCTCTGGGATGCTTTTTTATACCAATGTTACTCATATATCATGTTACTGACCTGTTGCCAATCAACCACCAGGTATTTTTTTTTTTGGATTACACAACTTTATCAGCCTTTTGTTGCCCCTGTCCTAACTTTTTTGGAACGTGTTGTTAGCATCAAACACATTTTTTTAAAAACAATAAAATTTCTCAGTTTCAACATTTGATATGTTGTCATTGTACTATTTTCAATTAAATACAGCGAATAAATGATTTGCACATCATTGCATTTTGTTTTTATTTACATTTTTTACAGTGTCCCAACTTTTTTGGAAATGGGGTTGTATTTTATTTTACTGCATTTGTAACCTTCTCCAAATAAGCGATACAATTTTTAGTACCGCTAGTCCAGGTGAATCTAGCCCCAATTTCTACACTCAATAAATGTGAATGTGCAGGTACAGTATTGTGCAAACAGCACCTGAAAAATTATTTTTAAAAAGCTATTTATCTAGTCTGTTAGTATTTATTTGCTCAGAAAACACAAATATTACACTGAGTACTGATTTTATGTATGTTAATGTGTTAGCGTTATCATATTCAAACCTTTCCTTAAGGAAGTTCAGTATTTACAGCTACTATCCATAGCTAGTTGATCCAATCCATCCACCATTCAATCATTAAGTTAAATCAAGAATATAACAAATCCATGTGATGCCTCACAGGCATCAATAAGAAACCTGGAACCAAACCTGTGTTCTTCAAACCAGCTCATATCAACAATTTTTAACAATTAATTCTTGTTATTTTTACTGTGTATGTGTGTCTTCTTTGTATGTGAATTTATTCTAATGTTATAGCATGTAAAGGCAAAAGCAAATAAACTTCTGAGAGCGTTAAACTATTGCATTAAGACATTTGCACAGCACTGTACGTATGTGAAAGATTTCACATTTCAGGATCAGCCTGGAATTCTTACATTGGTGCATCTCTAACAAGCTGTGTGTGCACCACTGAACACCTGTGTAAGCAAGGAGTGAACTTCGAAAAAGCTGAATTCACAAGTAATGAGGGCTGTCTGGTACATTTGAACACACAGTGTAATTTACAATAAACTCCACCACAGAGTTGGGCAATATGACAGTATTATATCATTATTGTGCTAAATTATGTCATAACATAAACACATCAGAAATCTTGCAGGGACACTGAACACCTGCATGTTACACTAAAAAGAGAGCGCAAGATCTGTTCAAGCCCTCATGACCATTTTCCAACCTCTCGTTTTGCTCCTGCACATATGTACTGTACGTATATGTATATAACACGTGACTGATATATGCAATTGAGCTCTGTTCACATTGCCTTTCCTGCATTGTGTGTCAATCAAAAAGCACTCTGGGCTGAAAGACTCCTCATAACATCAGCGTGAATGAGTGGGGCTAAGCTGCTTTAGGCTGAATGGATGAATATACTTAAATGCTTAACATGTGACATCATGAAAACAAAGAATTCAAAACAAGGCTATTTTTGCAGCTTAGTTTTCATATACAAACTGTTTTGTCATAATCCAGAAATCCAGTCACTATAGCCTTCCGCACTTGAGAGAAATCTTCACAAAACTGATCAATAATAAATCTTATGGAAGCTCATTCCTGCCACTGGAAAAATATATATAGCCATTTAATGAGTCATAATAATGACTTTTTACATAACAAAGAAAGTTTTCCATAATTATGGCTGCGTCCCAATACCCACACTTCTATACTTTACATACCACTCTAATGAATGCACTTCAAACCATGGTGCACTATTTTTTACACGCTATTTAGTGTTGTAGTATGCAGTTTGGGACACAGCCTATGACTTAGCATGTCATTATTATGACTTCTCTCTCATAATAATGAGATTCTATCTAATAAGTATGACATAGCATGTCATAATTATGAGTTACTATGATTTAATTATGATTGAATATTTTGTAATTATGATTTACTATCATAATTATGATCTACCATGTTATAACTCTTCCTCATTATTATGACTTACTAAATGCCTGAACATTTTTCTCCAGTGGCAGAAACTTGTTTCCAATAAAGAAAATGTGGTTGTGTCTTGCAACAGTCTTCAAGAATATGGACAGGAACGTTAAAAGAAGAGCTGCAGAGCCGTTTCATGTTGGCTGTTTGTAGCCTTCAGTTTTTATGTTCAATGTCAAAACCAGCTTAACAGAAAAGCTCCTCATATCGATCTGCCTCTCTCTGTGCGCTCTGATCTAAACACGCTTTCTAAAAACACGATAAATTAGTCACTTATGAACATTAAAGTCGGTAATCATCCCGCTGTGCGTGTCTGTGTGTTTGTGTCCTTGGTTTCTGTCAGAATGAATCCGGGCTCCGGTTAAAACTCTCTGTTTTCTGCTCTTACCGTCCGCACAGCTGCACCTGCCCTGAACGCTGCTGCACCGGTGGGCACGAACAACCGAACAACCCGTAACGCCATCTCAGAAAACTGATTAATATAATCAGAAAATTAAATATTTCTCTCTAATGTCGCCCTCGGCCCGTCCTCCTGAAGGGCCCTCGCCGTCGCGGGAGTTTTGCGTCATCCGTGTGCGCGTGTTCACAGCAAAGCCTGCAAAAATATACATAGCCTTGAATCGCAAATGGCTCCCTACTCCCTATGTAGTGCACTACATAAGTCACAACACTATGACTCCTACACCTAATTAATACACTAAATGTTAGCCGGAGACTCGTACTGCGTGTAGCTTAATATTTACTTCTCGACATTTATCCATTATTTGAGCGCAGAGGTATGTCTTTCATGACCTACGTAGTGCACTATATAGGCAGTAGGAAGCCATTTGGAATTCAGCCTCTAAATGTATCCTCTAAACGCTTCTTGCAAAGATTTTGGAAAGATATTGGCATTAGTTGTTCATTTTGTGATTCTGGGGTAGAAAATGTATCTCTAGAAAATATATCTATTTATTTTGGAATTATTTTTATACGGTTGTCTTTTTTATTTTATTTTATTGTTTAATTATTATTATTATTATTAGTAGTAGTAGTATTATTTTACAAAAGCTGTAAAAAAATTGAAAACGAGTATTTTGTTTCACATTCACTAAAAGTTTTTTTTCTCATTATACATACGTATATAGTGCTTCTGCTTCAATCAATACTACAGTGTTGAGACTCTTATTTTATTCTATTTATTCTGACTCTTTACTTCACTGTAAATTATTTCCTGGTTTTGGAAAAATATCTGTTATCTTTTATACAGAAAATTGACTGCAGTTTCCTTTGCTTTGCCGTGTGCTGTTTGGCTCCACAAACATCTCCTTTGGTAAATCAACAGAAATGACGTGTTATTAATTTTAATACATTATTAGCCACATTCGGTATTCATAAATGTTAGTATTTAAAACGAAAACTTTGACGTTTACCCTAAGCTTTTTGGACTTTGACTCTGTGATTATGTAAATTATGTGTAAGACTGTTTTTGCCAAATTTATAACTGATCATATTGATTGTGGCTGCATCCAAAACTGCATATTAGCATAATGAATAGTATGTCAACAATAGTGCAGCATTAGAAGTGCACAGATCAGTACAGTATGTATGGTATAGCAGTTATGGCTGGGAGACTAATTGAATTTCATTTTCAGCTACGATTTTGGCTTCCAGTGATTACGAAATCATGATAATCGAAATAAACCAATTGAGCCACGTTCTGTTTCCCAACTGTTACAAATCGAGCATGCCACTTTTTGTGCCCCTCCCTAAAAGCCCAAACTCATCTACTTTTCTTCATTATTTTATACATGTTTAGTAGTTTTCAGTAGGTTGTGAAAGTGCACTACAACATAGTTGATCTAATTTATTTTGATCTCATGTATTTTTAAAAATATTTATTTAAATGTATATATATTCATATGTTGTATATTATTTATTTTATTTATTTGTCTTTTTTAAATTTGAAAAATTTATTTTTTACAGTTGAATTATATTCAAAGTTCAAGGAAATAGACGGTCAAAAAGACATTTTTTTCAAAAAAAAGTTCAACAAATGCCTGATGTTTCCAAAGTCAATGAGTAATCATGTTTAATAATCATGATCTCAATATTCACCAAAATAATTGTGATTTTGCTACATTCAAGCAAAAAAAAAAAGACTCTTCACTGGTTCTTTATTAAAGAAAATAGTTCTATGGAACACTCAAAAACTTTGAATGACTAATGTGTTCTTCTGTTGTTACAATGTCAAGCTTGTCACAATACAAGAACCCTTTTTGGTGCTACATAGAACCATCTACAGCACATTCTCCATCAATCGGAGGAACTCTTTCACAACGCCAAGAATCCTTTAATCATGCAAAGGGTTCACTGAGTGTTCATGGTTCTATATAGAATTATTCTAGTTATTCTTGTTCTATATATTTTCATTACTAAAGAACCCTTGAAAAACCGTCTTTTTAAGTGTGGGATGCTCTGATTTTTCTCTGTACTTGGACACTTTTGTTTGGTCATGAGGGACAGGGATGCAGTCTCACTTCCTGCTCTAAATTGCAGGGGCATGGCTAAAATAAGGCTCTACAGACTAAAACTCTTTATGTTTTGGTAGTGACATTAAAATGTGCGACTACGATTTTTATGTGAAAATTAAACATATCGTCGCTGTCCAGTGAAAAACATGTATCTCCATTTTTTGCAATTTTTACTTTTCTGCATCATTTGAGCTCAGTAGCTGTTTGCTACATTGTGTGAAAATTTCATGATGATTGGACCAATAGAAATGGTCCAAAATTGCTAAGAATAAAACCTTTTCTGTTAACTTACATTGAAAGTAAAGAAGGTTTTTGCCCTCTCCTGTAAAGTTACTATTTTGGAGATACTTATTTTTCATTTGACAGTGACAATATGATAAATCAAAATCTTTAAACTTCATTTTAAAAGAAATCAAAAAGATCTTTTTTAAGTATTAATTTCACAATAAATTTAGGTGTTAGCGTTTAGCACTGACCTGCCAATAGAAAGTACCCTATATATGATTCTGTATATATTTAGCTTAATATATCTTTTCATACCTTACATTTAAATAGATAATCCTTGTAAATATCTAAGTTCTGAATACTTAATTTTTTATTTTTTTTATTTTTTTTTTTGCTATGATACTAATTAAATAGAATGGTCCACATATATATATATATATATATATATATATATATATATATACGTCAATTTTCAAGCATAACAGTATTACACTTTTTCATCAACATATGTGCCTTTATTTCAACATATTTGCATATATGTATGTTTACTGACATATTTCTGCAACATTGAGATTGAAGTTTAAATCATTTGTTTTCTGAATGTATTTCAATGTTGATGAAAAGGCACAAACGAGGTTATTTTATTGTTTTTCCACTTTTCTCTTAGGACTACAACACTGAGCCAAACCAAGCAATAAACTAAATGTAAATAAATAAAAAATCAAACCCAGCTGCTTCTGTATTTCTCTACTTCATTTTTGAACAATTTTTGAACATCCAACAGTTTCACAGGGGCTTTACCAAACTCCGTGAGAGATTGCCCTGCTGCCACCAGATGGCGCCTTTGGCATTCTGTTATCTTTATGTTGTTAAAGTATCTTATAAAAACCTGCACCCAACATGGACACTGTACTTTAGCTTACACTCACAGGTTTCAAGTGTTAAAGTAATTAAAGTATTTTAAGAAAGCGTTACAGTGAGGGGAAACAAGTTTACATTTCATAATGTTTGCACTCACATGCTGCTATGATGCTAATCTGTGCATATATATATATATATATATATATATATATATATATATATATATATATATACATACATATACACGAATCAGGCATAATATTATTACCACCTCCTTGTTTTTAGGCTCATTGTCCATTTTATCAGCTCCACTTATTGTATAGGTGCATATTGTAGTTCTACAATTACAGACTGTAGTTCATCAGTTTCTCTGCATACTTTGTTAGCCCCCTTTTACCCTGTTCTTCAGTGGTCAGGACCCCCATGGACCCTCACAGAGCAGGTATTATTTGGGTGGTGGATCATTCTCAGCACTGCAGTAACACTGATGTGGTGGTGGTGGTGTGTTAGCGTGTGTTGCGCTGGTCTGAGTGGATCAGACACAGCAGTGCTGCTGGAGGTTTTAAACACCTCAGTGTCACTGCTGGACTGAGAATAGTCCACCAACCAAAAATATCCAGCCAACAGCGTCCTGTGACCACTGACGAAGGACTAGAGGATGACCAACACAAACTGTGCAGCAGCAGATGAGCTATCGTCTCTGACTTTACATCTACAAGGTGTACTGACAAGGTAGGAGTGTCTAATAGAGTGGACAGTAAGTGGACACAGTGTTTAAAAACTCCAGCAGCACTGCTGTGTCTGATCCACTCAGACCAGCACAACACACACCAACACACCACCACGTTAGTGTTACTGCAGTGCTGAGAATGATCCACCACCCAAAAAGTACCTGCTCTGTGAGGGTCCATGGGGGTCCTGACCACTGAACAACAGGGTAAAAGGGGGCTAACAAAGTACGCAGAGAAACAGATGGACTACAGTCTGTAATTGTAGAACTACAAAGTGCACCTATATAGTAAGTGGAGCTGATAAAATGGACAATGAATGTAGAGACAAGGAGGTGGTCATAATGTTATGCCTGATTGTGTGTGTGTATGTATGTATGTATGTATGTATGTCCTGTGTAATGTGTTGCTGTTGTGTGTTGCACTATGGCTCTAAAGAACCACATTTCATTCCAATTTCTAATTCATTCTAATTTAATAAAAGTGTTTCATTACAAACTCTATCATCAGCATGAATTTCAGTTTCGTAGTATTTGGTGGTGTGTCCTCTTTTGCTGTAATGACGGCATATACTTGAGATGCATGGACTCCACAAGTTTGTGTAAAAGCCTCTGATCAGCAGATCAAATCCACCTCGTCTTAAGTCGTCCGAACACGAGCTTCACTGGAAGAGATGAGACCAAAAACAAGCTGACCTCAACATGGCCAATTTCTCAAATTTGCTTCGAGTCATGACCTAGAAATAGTGCAGAATTAGAATACTTCTTAACTTTACTCATGATAACTTTACTTTGTTTTAAATTTTTAGAAAAGATTCTAAAACTTTAACATTTCCAAAGTGGTCTCAGACTTTTGGATCCCACTCCCAACTCATTCTCTCTCTCTATATATGTAAATATAGGAAATTTCATTGGGGATAATTCGGGAATTGAGTTGGTATCCATGTAATGAAGGTTTAGGTTTTGGACTTGTAGAAGACTCACTGCATTTATAACTATGACAAAGTATGGAATACTGAAATACGTAATGTTATGTATTTTGGAGAGATCAGCCACAAATACTGCAATAAATGCATTTCCAGGTAAAATAAGACAGTTGAGGCACTGCACATGAAATATTTTTATATATAAACACTATTTCCAAAGTATTCTTGGAAACTCATTTTATATGCCAGTATAAACATTTTGCCAGAAGAAATTATATCACAATAAATGAAAAAAATAAAAAAACATCAGTTGCGA